TGGAGTTTGATTGAGATCTGGTATACAACAAGGAGCTAATGTAGTGACCTGAATGCTAAAGCAATGCAATCCTATCAACTTGTGTATATAAGGCAAGAGTTTCTTCAGTAGCTGTGTTTTTTTAGACTATTCATAGATTCAGAAGACAAGGTGGGACTATTATATTCTGACTTCTTGTAGACCACAGATCCTTAAATTTTCCCCAATTACCGCAGTATTGAGCTCCATAACTTGCGTATTGCTCAAGACTATCTTCCAGGAAGGCTTTCAGTCTTGACTTAAAGACATCAGCAAACAAAATGCTGCTCATTCCAGGAACAATTCAGTCCCACTAGTTTCTAGACATAAGGGCACATTATGAAATTCAATCACACCCCTTCTTGTATTCAATTTGGGCAACAATATCATAATCCAATCACAAATCATTAGACAATGCTCATAATAGAACAGGTAACAACGGGGAAGTCAACTACAAGTTTATTTGGTTGCAAATGTGAAAACAAGCAAAATTGCCAGCCAGCCATATCCCATCTGATAATTTCTTTTTACAAGGAAGAGCTCCCAGCTGGCCCCTGGGCTCTATATCTAAATCTCACTTCCAGCACACAGACAATGTCAGCATGAGGGACAGTGTGGCAGAAGCAGAGGCAAAATGTGTGATAAGGCACTATGTCAGGGGTGAGCAGTTCTTTTGGGTGGAGGGCTACTTACTGAGTTTTGGCAAGCCATGAAGGGCTGCATGACAGGCAGCCAAGAGCAGATAAATATTAATTTTCTAAATTTTTTAGGGGCTCCACGGGCCAGATACAATGGCCTGGTGGGCCGCATCCGGCTGGCGGGCCGCATTTGGCCGACCCCTGCACTATGTGTTACAATTGTCCTTCAGGAGCCCTATGCTAGTGGCATCTAAGGGCATTGGAGCTGGGTAGACCTCAGAAACAGAGAGCCATACACAACACCTGGATGTCTTCCATACTTCTGTGGAAGAAACAGGCTTCACTTTATTGTTTGGTCACAAAGTTGCTAGAGACCTTTATTATACAAACAGCTGCTGGGGAGAGCATCAGACAGACAGAGCTTTTTCTTATCAGTCCCACATGCCCCCCCCAACAACAGACAATTGAAGCAAGCCTTTTATATGCTTTCATTCAGGTCACATGACACAAGATAGAACAAGTCAAAGAAAAACTGGTTTGAACCAGAAAGCTGCAAGAGGGCATAGACTGCGGTTTGACCTATTGACCTTACAGGTCTACTCAGCTCAACAAGGGAAAAGGGCGAGAGAAAGAGCAGATTGCAAAATAGGTGGGGAAAAAGCAATCATTAGCAAATAGTGCACCAACTCAAGAAGTCAGCAGAAATTAAGGCCCGGGGTTTTCTTCTTCCACACTCCCGACCTGCACAACTGACAGCAAGCACCCAAAAACTTTTCTACTTGGTGAACTGCATCTTCAGCTGCTACATGGATCCATCTCTTCCATGGGTGAGGTGGGGAGGCATAACTGTTGCAAAAGAAACTCTGTCAATCGCTGGTCTCTCTGTCTTATTATATATTCTGCCTTGTGGCACTTTTCAATAGCTCTAGCAAAAAACCTCTCTGAAATGATACTTATAAGCACTGGCTACTTCTAGCATTATTATTCCTCTGATCAGTCGTGGCATAGATCTGAGTGTCTCCCTAATGGAAAAGAAATGACTGACGTGGTAGCTAGGTGTAACAGGGTTTATATACACATATACATTAGTCTAGAAACAAACATGGTCATATACCAGATACAAGACAATCTCTTCTTTCAGGAATGTCACTCTAACATCAATGTTTACTTTCCATAGACTCCCCATGCCTTAAGAACAGAAGCACCTGGGAGCCCAAGACAGGGCATATAGTGATCACTGGGCACGTATACATGAGACAGTATGGTGCCATAGCATCGGCTACATTGTGCAGATGCTTGTTGGTACCAGAAGCTGTGCTTGGAACCTGATCTAACTTGGGGTATGGGGTGAGGTCTTTGGGGAGGGGGGCGGGGCACTGTCCATCTGGGGGCAAGAGGGTCAGAGGGCTAAAAATACCCTGGTCAGGGTTGGGGAGTAGGAACAGCATGGTACTGAGACTGGGGCAAGCGAGACCCAAGTCTGCTCTTCAAATGTGTGCAGCGATTCACTAGATCAGGCTAACCTGTTCTCTGTCTAACTTAGTTCACCTCGTCAGGTGAACTAATTTAGATCAGGCGATCCATTTTTCCCTGATTTAGCTTCCTGAACATCTGCACAGGCTGGCACTTAGATTAACCTAACCCTAGTTAGGTCAATGTAAATGTAACATTGTTATTTTGATGTGTTCTGGACTCCATTTTGGTTTTGATTTAATATTCTTTATTTATGCTCTGGTAAAATATTAACCTGAGCTCCAGTGCACACACTAAACAAAACCATTGTACCTTGCAATTCCACTGGCAGAATCCAGTCCCTCCAGTTGCTTTTGCTTGATTCTACCATATCTATACACATTTTTCTTGGCATGCTCTCAACTGTATGCACTTGAGGTTTCTGTGTTTGGGATCTCAACACTTGGCAAAATAGTTCCTCTTGTTACAGTTAAAACAGATCTTTCTAAATGCAATGCGATGTTTGGGGCCATGTTTCCTGCCACACTTGGTACACATCCTCTCTCCCTTAGCATGTGCATTACCAGTGCAATAGTCCACCCTGTGAAGTAGCTTTTTCTGACCCCATGCTTTCATAGCTGCTGTATGGAAGACCCCTTTTGGTGCATTCAGCTCTGTAGCCTGGGCCTGCTGCCCTGTAGGGCTGTGCGAAACGGCACTGTTCCGTTTCAACTTGTGTTTCGACATTTCGATGGAACAGCATTTCATTTCAAATTTCATTTCAATTTGAAACTGCTGTTCCATTTCGAAACTGCTGTTCCATTTTGTTTCGTCGAAACAGTTTTGCTGTTTTCACGATGTTTTGACGTTTTGCCCATAGGCTATAACGGGGAAGCTTGAAACAGCCTATAACTTTGTCATTTCTGGCCTGATTTGGATGAACCTTGCAGGAATGGTAGCCCCTTCTGAGGGCATAGAGCCTGCCAAGTTTCAAGGAGATAGGTACAGGGAGTTCAGGGAAACTGCGCCTCAAATCAAGAAAGCAAAACTCATGTCACGTGTATGTGTTAAGCCACAGCAGGGTCAAAACTGCAGGCATGCTAGTCCCTGCTGAGGCCACAAAGTCTGCCATGTTTCAAGGAGATAGGTGCAGGGGTTTGGGGGAAACTGCACCTCAAGCTGTGGACAAGCAAAACTCATGACATGGGTGACAGTGTGTTTTAAGGCGCAGCGGGGTGAAAGCTGCAGGCCTGCTAGCCTCTGCTGAGGCCATGAGCCTGCCAGCTTTCAAGGAGATCGGGGCAGGGGTTCTGGGACCCGGCCCCTCTGGCTACAGGCAAACCCCATGACATGGGTGCTTGTGGGACTGTGTCTGTCTTGGGGCGCAGGGGGGTGAAAGCTGCAGGCCTGCCAGGCCCTGCTGCGGCCATGAAGTCTGCCAGCTGTCGAGGAGATAGGTGCAGGGAAGTCTGGGTTCTGGGGCCCTGCACCTCTAGCTGCTGACAGGCAAAACTCGTGCGTGGGTGACATGGGCGGGTGACACTGTGTGTGTGTTAAGGTGCGCCCTCACTCAACTGACCCCACGGCAGAAAGCAGGGCAGTTCAAATAATGCTGCCTTTTATGCGGTTTTTCCATCCCTCCCCCAGAGCACTGGGAGTGGAAGGGACCTCAGGGAAGGATCGCAGTCACTGGACAGCTACACAGTCAATAATGAGAGTGCTCCTTCCCCCCCACGCCTTACCCTTCTTCCTCCTCCCTCTCCTTACTTTAGTTTCTGTTTCCCTGCAGGAAAGCCCAGCTTGAGCTTCGAAACGTTTCAACTTGCCTCATTTCGTTTCTAGGCTGTTTTGAAGTGCTCTGTTTCGTTTCAATTTTGCTGTTTTGATCACAAGAAAAGTCAAAACAGCGTTGAAATGAAACTACCAGCGAAATTTTGCACAGCCTTACTGCCCTGCACGGCTGAACCGTCTTTCCTAGGGACAAGTCTGTCTCATGACTTTCTTATAATGCAGTGACTACAATGCCACAACTAATCCTATCTCAAATGAGAGATTTTGCCAAGTCCCCAAAAGCACAGCTCTTATCTAGTCTCTTTAGTTCCGTGACATACTGATCTATGCTTTCTCCCATTGTTTGTCTGCACATACAAAAATCTGTGTCTTCCAAGGGCATGTGTCTTTTGGCATGTGGCCCTCCTCAAGTTTGCATAGTAGTACACTTAATTGAATGTTTATCTTTCTTCAAAGGTAAAGGTGTTATGAACAGCCAAGGCTTCCTTCCCAACAATATGCAAGAAGACTGACAATCTGACTGTCATTTTTCTCTTCTGCCCCTATCTCTGCAAGGTAGTACTCAAGCCTTTGTTTGAATACCCACAGTTCTCTGCTATGTTGCCTAACATTAGAATGGGAGGTTGCAAAACTTCCACGATTAATAGTCTGATTATTTAGACCACTTGTACTCAACCTTTTTCCTTGACAGGACAGATGGGCAGTGCCTGGTCTGCCCACAGAGCGGATGTGGCCAGTGCCCCGATCCAGTGCCTGCAGCAGGTGTGGTGGCAGGTAGTCCAGCTAGGGCATGGCCCACTCCCAATCCAGCCTTGTGGTGGGGAGGCAGGCATGGCCCACCCCAACCTGACCACGTGGGGAGAACACATCTGGCTGTTCTGGGGGAGGGAGAAGGGGAATTTGGCAGTGGGGGAGGATAGCCACTGCTCCCCTGCCGCCAAATTTCCAATTCCATAGGACCAGATGCAATGTCTCTATGGGCTTCATTTGGCCTACAGGCCAGAGGTTGAATACCCTTCACTTAGAGTATAACTATGTAGGAAGATCACTTACAATGGCCCTTGTTCTCCCATGTGTCTATGCTAGTCCACTTACTCTCACGTTCCAAATTCTTCATCTGTTTTGATCTTTATTCTTTCAAGATCGGTCTCATTTGATACTCCTGACACCATGTAGTGATTATCACCAGGTTCAATAAACAAGCATTCAATGGATGAGAAGAACTAGCAATGCAGTAGGCAACTGCCACAGATCCTTGATGTGCCTCTCACTAACTACCTAGCTATATAAGTGAGGGACCATCTCCCCATTCCCAGCTTCCTTAATCTCCTTAGTTAGGGAGCATCTTTAAATTACAACGTCTATCACCACAAAGAATGAACTCAACTCTCGCCATTCACATAGCACCCTAACAAAACGAACCTCAGCCCAGAGCATGTCTTTTCAAAGCTCATAGGCTAAGAAAAAAAAAAAAGTAGAAAACTATCCATCACCTCCAGACAAAGGCCACAAAAGTATTTTCTTTAGAGAAATGTGGGACTTTTCTGAAAATTAGAAGAATTTGAACTCATGCCACCAGAATTCTCCTGGGTTCCCAAAAGGCCATTTGAAATCCCCCATAATCCTCTGCTTCAAAGACCTATTCAAGGGGTAGAACAAATAACCACAGGGAATTCAACTATAACAGTGTATTTCAGTGTAAGAGTGGAAACAAACAGAACAAAACTGTAGACTTAGCTTAGGCATGGTACACCCCTGGTACTTCCTGCAGTATCCTCTCACTGGTTCAGTTATCAGTTGTTCAGTATTTTACTATAGATGTAGATATAAAGTAGTATAGCAATATATGTCCCAAATCCCTCACTCTATAGGCCATTAGCTACCTTTTATCATCATAATTTCATTTATCCTTGATTCTAGATACTCTGATCTGTCTCTACAGTCAAAGTGCACCAGTATTAGCACTTACTATGAGGCAAGATTGATCCGTGTTATATTTACAGGTAGATTTGTATATGTATGTCTGTATGCATGCATGTGGATGCAGAAAGCAGCCACATTGAGATCTGAACTGGGGATTTTTCCAGTTCACATTTCAGTAGGCCTGACTTTTTAATCACTTCCCTTACTGCTGGATACCACAAAGGCTTAAATGGTCTATTGATGAAGAAGGTCAACACCTTCTTAGCAGCCCATAAAGTGAGTCTCTCACAATCAGGTTTCAGACTCTTTAAAGATTCCAGCCTTTTCTCTAGGCAATGAAGCAACCTAGTTCTTTCATCTTGCTATTTTTATTGTTTGAAAGCCTGAGTCACATCTGATCTTTTTTTTTATTTTTAGTTTTCCTTGGGAAAAAAAACCAACTTTAATGTATTTGTTTTGTTCAGGTACTCTATTTCTTTGTGATAGACATAAGAAATGGCTCATTCTGTGCAAAATCAGAACTTCTTACATTTTTCTTGCTGTGATAAGGACCCATTTGCCATTATTACAGCTTCATTTTCCATGCTGGTACTGTGAAGGTTTTTGTTAGCACTTCCACTATAAACCACTATTTTCACTCACCATGTTTAACTTAGTTGTAAAAAAAATAAAAAATAAAATAAATAAATAGAAAAATTGTGCTCCTGGCTAAAGTTTGGCATGTGAAGTGGTGATTTTTCAATGTAGTTTGCAAGGAGTTACCCATAATACTCCCATTGCTTTTTGAGGCCGGGACTCATTTATTATAAGCTTGTACAGTACCAAGTATATAAGGGTTGTAATCTGGTTAGCTTGAAGGCACAATATAAGTATTAAAGAATAGCAATGATTAATGTTAATGTTCTAAATTGTTCAAAGTAACAGAGGCCCAAATCACCTTTTAGAACAATAGAATCACAAGGTTGGAAGGGATCTCAGAGGTCACATCTAGTCCAACCCCCTGATCAAAGCACGACCAGCCCCAACTAGATCATCCCAGCCACAGCTCTGTCTTAAAAAACCTTTTATCTTAAAAACCTCCAAGGATGCATATTCCACCACCTTTCTGAGTAACCTGTTCCTGTGCTTTACTACCCTCCTAGTGAGAATGTTTTTCTTAATAACTAGCCTAATTTCCCTTGCTGCAACTTGAGACCATTGCTCCTTGTTTATGCTATTGGCCACCACTGAGAACAGTCCAGCTCCATCCTCTTTGTAAACGCCCTTCAGGTAGTTGAACACTGCTATTAAATCCCCCCTCAGTCTTCTCTTCTCCAGACTAAATAAGCCCAGCCTCTTCTCATAAAGTCATGTTTCCCAGCTCCCTAACCATTTGTGTTGTCCTCTGCCAGACTCTCTCCAATTTGTCTACATCCTTTCTGTAGTGGAGGCGGGGGTGGGGGTGGGGGGCAAAACTGGACACAATACTCCAGATATGGCCTCACTAGTGCCAAAAAGGAGAGTAATCACTTCCCTTGATCTGATGGCAATGCTTCTACTAATGCAGCCCAGGATGCTGTTAGCCTTCTTTGCAACAAGGGCACACTGTTTGCTCATATTCAGCTTATAATACACTGTAACCCCCAGGTCCTTTTCTGTAGAGCTGCTGCTTAGTCAGTTGGTCCCCAGCCTGACCTGGTGTATGGGACTATTCTGTCCTAAGTTCAGGACGTTGTACTTGCCTTTATTGAACCTCATGAGATTTCCTGTGGTTCAATCCTCCAATTTGTTGCAGTCTCTCTGAATCCTAGCCCTACTCTCCAGCATATCTACTCCTGCCCCAACCCCAGCTTGCTGTCATCTGCAAACTTGCTGAGGGTGCGCTCCATCCTATCTTCCAGGTCACTGCTGAAGATATGGAACAAGACAGGCCCCAGGACCAATGCATGGGGTACTCCACTTGATATCGGCTGCCAACCAGACATTGATTTACTACCTTCTGAGCCCAACAATCCAGCTTGTTTTCTGTCTAATTTACAATCCATTCATCCAACCTGTACTTCCTTTGCTTGCTTGCAAGAATGTTGTGGGAGACCGTATCAAAAGCCTTATTCAAGGTATATTACATCCACTGCTCTCCCCACATCCACAGAGCCAGTCATCTTGTCACAGAAGGCACTCAGGTTGGCCCTTGGTGAATCCATGCTGACTGCTCCTAATCATCTTCTCCTCCAAGTGGTTAGAAATGGATTCCTTGAGGATCTGCTCCATGATTTTTCTAGGGACTGAGGTGAAGCTGACTGGTCTGCAGTTCCCTGGGTCCTCCTTCTTCCCTTTCTTAAAGACAGACACTATATATGCCTTTTTCCAGTCATCCAGGACCTCTCTCAATCGCCATGAGTTTTCAAAGATAAGGGTCAATGGCACTGCAATCACATTGGCCAATTCCCTCAGCACCTTCAGATGCATTGCATCCAGCCCCATAGACTTGTACATGTCCATCTTTTCTAAATGGTCCCTAACCTGTTCTTTCACCGCTGTTGGCTGCTGACCTCCTCCCCAAACCGTGCTGCCTGGTGCTGTTGTCTAGGAGCTGACTTTGCCTGTGAAGACTGAGGTAAAAAAAGACATTGAGTACTTCAGTCTTTTCTACATCATCTGTCATTAGGTTGCCTCCCCCATTCAGTAAGGAACCCACAATTTCCCTGATAATCCTCTTTTGCTGACATCCTTGTAGAAACCCTTCTTGTTGCCCTTCATATCTCTTGCTAGCTGCAATTCTCATTGTGTTTTGACCTTCCTGATTTTATCCCTGCACACCCAGGTAATACTCTTGTACTCCTCTCGAGTCATTTGTCCAAGTTTCCACTTCTTGTAAGCTTCAATTTTGTGTTTTCTCTCACTAAAGTGTTCCCTGCTAAGTCAAGCTGGTCTTCTGCCATACTTGCTAGATTTTCTGCTCATGGGGATGGTTTGCTCTTAAACCCTAACCAAGGTTTCTTTAAAATATGACCAGGTCTCCAGGACTCCTTTTCACCCTCAGACTGGCCTCCCAGGGGATCCTGCCCATCAGTTCCTTAAGTGAATCAAAGTCAGCTTTTTTGAAGTCCAAGGTCCTGTCTCTGCTACTCTCCTTCCCTCCTTTCTTTGGGATCCTGAACTCAATCATCTTGTGGTCGCTGCTGCCCAAGTTGCCATCCACTAACTACATTCCCCACCAATTCTTCCCCATTTGTGAGCACCAGGTCAAGAAGAGCATGGCCCCTAGTTGGCCACTCCAGCACTTGCACCAGAAAGTTGTTCCCAACACTCTCCAAAAACTTTCCAGATTGCCTGCTCACTGCAGTATTGCCCTCCCAGCAGATGTCAGGGTGATTGAAGTCCCCCATGAGAACCAAAGTCTGTGATCTGGAACCTTCTGCTAGCTATCTGAAAAAAGCTTCATCCACCTCCTCCTCCTGGTCTGGTGGTCTATGGCAGACCCCGCCACCCCAAC